GAAAGCGGCAAGAATGTGGGAGAAGTGTGTTTGAGGCGAGGTGGAGGATCTCGAGGGGAGTTTACAGCACTGTGTCTTTTACTGTAACACGTTTTTAAACGTTCGCCATATTTCCGGCTTGATTAGACGCACGCCGACTTTTCAGAAGCACTGATTTTGCTGTGTGAAGCAGGTCATCCGGGCTCACGCAGGCGGACCCTGAAGGTCAAAGCCTGAACCTGAGAGCCAGGCTGCCGCCGCCCATCACGGCTCCTTTTCTGACGGTGACTAAGCCCTGGGCGATGCTCCGAAGTAGGCAAGGGGTGATCCGCGCCGCTCTCCATCCAGATGGGTGTTTGGGCCGAGCTCAACTTTAAACCAGGATAAAGTCTCCAGGGCCCCAGAAAGAAAGATGGGGAAAGAGAAAAACCCTCCCGGACTGGTACAAAGCTGCTCTCCTTGACCACATTTCCGCCTAAAACCAAGGCAGACGCAACAGGCCGTGGGTGCCGGCCTAGCGAAGGGACTGGCGTCTGCAGCGTCAGGGCTCTGATACCTGAAGTCACGAAATCGGCCCCTTAAAAGTACAGTCGCTGAGGAGCCCGTGTTGTGCCCTGTGTGAGTTTTCGAGAAGTCTTACCTGAGAGGTCAGAGATCTACAGAGATTCACCAAGGATTCGTGAATGAGATCCGTACACTGCGGATGACCCAACCACTGTCCCTTTCCGAGGAGTTAGGTACGAGAACATAATAGGACCAGAGGTGTCATACACCAAGATGAAATGCACGGTAAGGGGTAAGGCCGGCTGCAATTTAGGGTGTGAGAAGGGAAGTTTTCTGGATTCTCTAGGCTCTGACAGCTAACAGTAGCCTCAAGGTGTTAAAGGATGGATTTCCTCATTGTATGCTAAAGAGAATTCTCAAGAGGTCCTTTTACAGGTTTTAGAGCCATTTATAATATATTTGAACAGACAGAGATCTTACCATAGGGAAAAACAGCCACTGAAATGTTCTAATTTTATGGTAATAAAGTTTTGCTTCCTTTTTTCTTTTTCATTTTCCTTCTTTCTTTGTTTGTTTTTGTTTTGTTTTGTTTTGTTTTTTGGTCTTTTTGAGACAGGGTCTCACTATGCAGGGCAGGCTGGCCTTGAGCTCACTTTGTAGCCCAGGCTGGTCTTGAACTTGCAATGATCCTTTTTTCTCAGCCTCCCAAGTGCTGGGATTACGGGCATGCTCCACCACGCCTGGCTTTTTTTTTTTTTTCTTCTTTTTTTACTGGAATTTATTTAAATGTTAGGAGCTAAGGCAACTGAGGACCTTAGGGACAGAGGCTATGCTACCTATATCCCCGAAATCCCAGTCACAAGCATATACTAGGTGCTCAATTAATAGTTAACTCATGAATAAATGTCTCAGCAAGGCATTCTGGGAGATTTCCACAAAGCTGAAGCTTCATGTACTGTCTCTTACTATTTGGCCGGAATAATTTTATTGTTATTCTACGAAGAGGCCAGTTATGTTGTAAGTAAAGGATTCGTTTAATTGTAGTTCTGCTAAGAATAGGTACACCACTGACGAAGGTAGACAAGAGGAGAACAGGAAGCAGCTACTCCTTAAAAATAATGCCTGCTTTTTCCCCAAAGGGTCACAGAGACATCAGGGATATTTTGAAGGCTTTACGGGCTGTTGATGGATTACTTCCATGAGACTTCCCGCAGGGGCTCGGGTTACTCTGGCCCTCCCCTCCTCCAAGAACCAACACAAGGTTCGCTCTAGGAATCCGGCCACCATAGGCCTGGGAGTGGGTGATTTTGACATCTCTTGCACCTTCTGGAGCTGAAAACTCAGACTCTGAGAAAGTTGCCAGACCCTCCTGGGTCCCAGGAGAGCCCAAGCAGTCCACAGAGCCTATTGAGGCATCAGGACACACACCTGTGAGCCCAGCACTACAGGAGGCCGAGGCAGGAGGATTACCAAGTCAGCACCCAGCCTGGACAACTTACCAATTTAGAGAGACCATGCCTCAAAACAAGCAAAGAAAGGGGGCTTGATATATGGTTCAGTGCTAAGGGTTTGGGTTCAATCCCCAGTATTGAAAAAAAACATGACTTTTAGCAAAATCTCGTGGCTTTCTCAGTGGAGAGGAACATGAAGATGTTCTGTACAGAAAGCCATGTGGCGCTCAGGAGGCTGAGGCAGGAGGCTCTCTGGAGGTCTGAGGCCAGCCTGGGCTGCATAATGAGACCCTGTCTCAAAAAGCCGAAAAAAACAAACAAAAATGATGTTCTGTAGGGGCTGTGAGAACTGTCTGGGCAGGGAAGGATCTGGTCTTTGGCAGGGTTCATTCTTGGGTCGCTCTTAGAGAGACCAACACCAGTGTTAGGAGCAGGCGTGAGTGACCATTTGTGACAGTGTCAGAGCTGAGTCCCTGCGGCGGACGACAGGAAGAGGCAGCAGCTTCACAAAGCAGAACTCCCCCAGGCGCTGCTCCCTTAAAAGTCAGTTCTGCTCGGAAGGGAACAATCTCTGGACCTCCTCAGTGGATTTTAAATCAATCACAGCTCTCTTTACTTTTTTTTTTTTTGTGCCTACTTCCCATCAGCCAAATTTAAACTAACCAAAGAATCTGTGGGTATAAAATTACTGTGCTGGGGGTGGGGACTCCTACACAGAATATCAACCGTGCTTTTAAAGGCAGGGAAGGTCACGGAGACTTTAGGATACATGCAGATTTATTCGAAAAGAAAAATACATTTGAACATGGGAGACCTATTTTTTTTTTTTTTTTTGAGACAAAGTCCCTCTGCGTAGTTGAGGCTGGCCTTGAAGCCACTATGTAGCCCAGGCTGGCCTCCTACTCACGGAGATCCTTCTGCCTCAGCCTCCCAAGTGCTGGGGTTACAGGCATGGGCCACCATACCCAGCTGTTTTCCTGTTTGTGGCTTTAAAATTTCACTCTCTCCAAAAGTAGAATGAATCTGACTGAGTTGTCGAACCAAACCTAAGGCTTGGTGTTGTCTAGTGTCAGAATAATTTAATTAGCTTACGGCCTGTGATGTATTTATTCATTTTTCAACCTTCTTGTTGTTTTCCACTGGGCTTTCTTTTTCTTTTTTGTAGATGCTTAAACTTTTTTTTTAATAGATGAAACCTTTGACGTGTTCTTGAGAATATGCTTCTGCCCTTTTTCCTAATGATTACACCCATCGTCTCTCTGCAGATAAACATCCGTCAATAGTACACTGCTAACCACTGCCTGGTGTTCTGCCCTCTGGCTGTAACACGATTTATTTACTAATTGCTGCCTAGGACTTCGAAGCTGTCTCCAATTTCTCTGCTACTAGCGGGAGGACTGGGATAATCATCCCTATAAAACAGCTCTGTGAAAGTGCTCTCTTATTCCCCCGGAATAGTTTCCTAGATTGGAATCTTGGGGCCAAAGGGGGATGCACATTTACAGACCTTTTTATGTACGGTGATAAAACGCTGCGTCTCTCTTCACTCACCTTATTCGGTCCGTTTACATCTGAGACGGAGTCTCACTCAACCCTTTCCAACACTGGCCCTTGCAACTGTGCCTTCAAACACACACACATTCATCCCCTGAGTCCAGGATAATTGAGAGAATATTCTGCCCTCAGCGAGGAAACACAGAATGGGAGTCGTCCCCACAACACTGGAGAGCAGAGTCAAGTGACAGATCAAATAAAAAGGACACTTAATACACATGTAAATCATTTGCATTACAAATAGGACACTTTGGCAGGGCTTGGCCTCCCTGCCCGGGCTGGGATTAGGATCCCATATTAATACATGCATTTGGTGCGGTTATTTCTGGGGGCAGATTTCACTCTTCAATGATCCCGCCACTAAAGAAGGCGACCTGTAAACTGATCACCGCGGCCTGTCACCACCGTGCACTTAATGACATAAAGAAAATAGATTTAAAAGGCTTCTGAGAGTTTGGTTAGTATTTCCACTTGGGGTTCCGTGTGTGGGAGCTTTGTCAAGGCTGTGCGAAACAATGGTTGGAAGCATTTTTAAGAGACCAAAAAATAAGAGAGAAAGCTAGATATTATTTTTATGTTCCCTAGTGAAAGCTAGATATTATTTTTATGTTCCACACCTAGTGCGTGTGCTTTTATTTGCAGGGATGGAGAAGAGAGATTCAGGAGCACAGTGCAGATGCATGTGAGTGAAATCATATTTTAAAAGACATTTGCATTAAAAATGAAAGTCAATGCTCTGCTGCGATGGATGCCTTTTATTATTTCCACAGTCACTAATTCCAGTTGTTTTCATTATTAATTAGTAGTTTTAAAAGCATTGATTTTTTTTTATAGAAAGGAGAAATTTAACTGGAGGAAACATTTCTTCTGCTGAAGAATATTCTCATCTTTTCAGTTCTGCTATTTTACAAAGGCTGTGCAGTGTGAAACCGCACACAGTAAATCTCAGGAAAGACGTGAGCTATCAGAAACATCTTTTCATGCGAGGATTGGACAATAAAACTCCAAAAGTACCAATAAAAGCAAACGATACTTTTGATCTGTACATTTTAAATGTCTTATCACGGAAAAATATACAGCAAATCCCGAAATAACATCGCAAATTCTCTTCTGAAGTCTTGATGAAAGTTAGTGAGCATTTGGCAAAGTCTTCCAACGCCCATCCTCCGCAAATTGCAACTGCGCGTGGAAAGCTTGCCATCAAACCTACGACTGAAGTTAAATCTGCTTCCCGCGCGCAACCCGCACCGTGAAAGGACGCCCTGAGGGTCCCTTGCTGTTGGACCAGGACATTTTCAGTTAATCACTGAAGCCTATATCCCTTGACAGGCTTTGGTCATGAGGTGTTTCTCATCATACCCTCGTCCCTCTCCTCTCGGCTTCGCTGTACAGTAACACAGCGAGTGTATGATCTCATCATCTATGTAAGGAATCGGATATCTGCTTGGAAATGAAGACCAGAACAAGCGCACTTGATGGAAAAGGACAGAACTCTTTGGGGGCGGGTCTTACCCTCTTTCTTAGTGGGCTCCGGCATGACCGTGGTCAGTTTCCTCCCCTCGGGTGCGGGTGGACGAGGCCCCGGGTCGCAGAGAGCAGTGCAGGAGGTCAGTGTGACGGCGGCGGCGAGGGACCCGGGCTTTTATCGGGCCCCGCACGTCAATCACGCGGCCCCGCCCCTCCTCCCGCGAGGATGCTCCGGCACCACATCTGTCGCCTGCCGGCCTCGCCCGCTGTAAGGAATCCCGTCCCGCTCGCAGCCAGGGCTGCCAGCACCCCCGACTTTCCAAAGCCGGCCCCTCTCGGGGCCCCAGCCCCTCACACACTTTGTGGGTAATAAAAAAAATCAAAAGCAGAGCAGGCGGATCCAATCAATGCCTTGATGCTTATTAAGCTCAAAAACAAACATCCCTGTTCCGAGGGTCATTTTCACGTCCTCTGAACATTCCCTCGTCGGGGACCCTTGGTTATTTCGGTCTGAAAATGTTATATTTTACTGGTGCAGCAGTGTCCGTGGAGGCCAAGGCTCTCCGTGGGATCCCTTGTTTCACTTTCTTTGCCAAAGGGAAGCATTTCTTTTTCTGCCTGCAGAGCATTTCTGTTTCCGAAAAGCACCTTTTAAAGATTACAGGACAGCCGGGCGTGGTGGCGCACGCCTGTAATCCCAGCACTGGGGAGGCTGAGGCAGGAGGATCGTTGCAAGTTCGAGGCCAGCCTGGGCTACAAAGTGAGCTCAAGTCCAGCCTGAACTGCATCGCGAGACCCTGTCTCAAATCAATCAATCAATCAATCACAGGACAAATATAAAAGAGCCAGGCGGGGACACACAGAATAAGAGCGAAGCTTATGCCAGGGAACGAGGCCGGAGCCCAGGCGGGCATTGCGCGATGCCCGCACTGCCCAGCCCCGCTAGGAGGACTCCGGCCGGCCGCAGCTGCAAGGGTAGATTAGCGGCTGCGGGGGCCGAGGAAGTGGCATTAGAGCGGCTACTCGTGGATGTGGGATTTTGAGGCCGCGAGGAAAAGGCTCTGGGATCGAAAGTGGCCCCGTGGCCGGCCCGGCGGCTCAATCAGGAGCCAAGGGCGCACCGCACACGCGGCGGATCTGCGGCGGCCGCAGGGTGTGGGGCTCGGCCCCTTCTGCCGGAGCTCCCAGGCCGAGGCAGGAAGACGCCGCCCTTGTCTGCAGCGGGCGGGAGAAGCGAGGGCGAAGTCAGCCCGCGTGACAGCGGCGGCCCCGGGCGCTCGGGGCTGTGCGGGCCTCGCGCGGCGTCTCCCACCGTCGCGTTTCATTTCCCCCGCGCCCCCGAGCGCAGCTGGTCGGACTTAGCTCCTGACTCTGCGCCAGGCCAGCGTCTCAGGCAAGGATGGAAACTAGACTTAGAGCCTCATCACCTCATGCCCGAGCTATGCGGGCCAGGAGGGGCGGCCGGGCCGCGGGGGCAGAGAAGCCCTCTCTCCCGTTGCTGGGCAGATTCTCCGGCTTTCAGACGCTGACCAGCTAATGTCAACCAGAACACGGGTCTTATGTAATACAAAGTTAGACGCGGCCCGGAGAAAAATAACACAGCTTTCTTGATCCTGCCAATTAATAGATAAAATAAATTAAAGAATCGACAGCCGGGCGTGGTGGGGCATGCCTAGAAGCCCAGCACTCAGGAGGCTGAGGCAGGAAGGTCGCTGCGAGTTTGAGGCAGCCTGAACTACATCGTGAGACATTGTCTCAAGAAAAAGAAAAAAAAGAGACTAGAATCTATTTTCGGGCCTGTGATCAACCAGCTGAGTTATGGGGCTTCAGCTTCTTTTTGTGTAAAATGAGGGGTTTAAGAAGAAATCGCAGAGGTCCCTTGTGGCCTTAGCGTTGGGAGCTTCCAGGAGGCCTCCAGAAAAGAATCAGTTTCCCGGCGTGCCCGGCGTGCTGAATGCCGCACAGAAAAGGGCCAGAAGGGCACAGTGTCGGGTTGCAAGGAATGTCCAGCGTGACGGCAGATGGCACGCATGCCACAAGGAGGTGCCGTGCCATCTTTGGCCTCCGCACAGCCCCCTGGGTCTTTAATACGCCGATCGTTTTACCGCAGGGAACCAGTGCCAGGAAATACTGCACCCCGCGGAGAAGGCATTTCATGGCCCGGGAGCTTTCGGTCACAAAGGGCTTGATTATGAAAAGAAAATATTCTTGGAAGGACAGACTCTAGCATAAACGATTACACGGTGTGTTGGACGGGACTGCAGACTTTTACATTCACACAGGGAGGGGAGAAATGGTCAGTGGCATCTTTTCTTCTTTCTTTCTTCTGTTTTTTTTTTTTTTTCTTATTTTAAAGACAGTAGTAAATGAGAAAAAAAAGAACAAGAGTAGCATACGAACATCACAGACATAAAAGAAAGCAAGAACATTAAAAGTGATACAGGGTTCCAAGACACAAGGATAGGAATTAGCAGTGGGCGTTATATTACACACTGTGATCTCCAACCACGTTGCTCAGATGACCAGATGTAAGAACGGAAGATTGTTCCAACCATTAAAGAGAATAAAAAATAATGAGGAGATAAAACATTATAATACAGAGTTTCACTGGACAAGATGGTAGGAATTCACCAATGGCTGTTCCATTGCAGATTGTTGCCTCCAAGTCAGTTGCTCAGATTCCTAGACACAAGCATGCAAAATTGGCCAGAACATAAAAAATTTTAAGCATTAACTGTTCCTTTCAATGCACCATCAGACATCAGCAGTACAGTTATTGCAGCTATTCATATATATATCTTTCTTTGTTTTCTCCTTTTTTTTTTTTTTGCTTTTTTTGTTGTTAAGTGAGCTTTTGGAATTTTCCTCTTGTGTGTTAAGGATGCGATGAGATTTGGTCAACTTTAACCCAAACTACAAGACAAGAGTCGAATCCAGATAAAAGCGTGTGCTGCTCACACAAGCGGGTTCCTAAGCAGGTAGCTCAGGGTCTCCATCTTCTACCACCTGCCAGGCGGCTCCCAGGCCGCAAGGGGCAGCTGGCCGTTTACGGTGGCAGAAAAAGAGGGAGGGAGAGAGAGAAAACAATTCCCTTTCTCCATATTAAACATCCGGCTTTGAAGCCCCGAACCTCAGCCCTGTTGTAGCCCACAGGGCAGGCTTGCTAAGAGGGCCACATCTGGCTACAAAGGAAGCTAGGAAATGTAATCTGCCCTCCCTTCCTTCTTTTTTTTTTTCTTCCTTCTTTCCTTTCTCTTTCTTTCTTTCTGTCTCCCTCCTTCTAGCTCTCTCTTGCTGTCCCTCTTTCTTTCTCTCCCCATTTTCTTTCTTAGATAGGGTCTCCATGTATAGTCCAGTCCGGCCGTGAATTTGCCATCCTCCTGCCTCAGCCTCCTGTGTCTTGGGATTATAAACATGGTCCACCTTAGCCAGCTCCTTCTCACTTTCTTTTTTTGAGACAAGGTCTCTCTGTGTAGCTCAGGCTGCCTTGAACTCACTTTATAGCCCAGGCATGCCTCAAACTTGCAGCCATCCTCCTGCCTCAGCCTCCCAAATGCTGGGATTACAGGTGTGCGCCACCTCGCCCAGATCTCACTTTCTCACTAATGTCATTTGATACATAAAAGTTTTCAATTTGGTGAGGTCCAACTTACCATTTTTTTCCAATTGTGCTGCTTACACTTTGTGTACCATATCCAAGTGTCCATTGCCAAAGCCAAGGTCCTAAAGAGTTACTCCTACGTCTCCTCTGAAGGTTTTATAGTTGCAGCTTTTATATTTAGGCTGTAGATGCACTTTGAGCGTATTTAGTACAGGTCGGGGATTGGGGTTTGGATTCACTCCTCCGCATGCGGATGCAGTTTCCCCGAGCGCCTGGCAGAGGAGCCCTCCCCTCCAGGAGCTGGGCAACGGGACGCGCACCTAAAGGTACTTTTGGATCTCTCGGTTTGCATCCACGGGCCTGCAGGTCCGGCCTTCCGCCAGCCTCGCGGCTTGCTCTATTGCTGTACATTTGTAATAAGAATTGAGAAGTAAGAATTTAGATCCTCCGACTTTGTTCTTTGAGCATTCCGTTGTGGCTCTCCGAGGTCCCGCGAAACCCCACGTGAGGGTGAGGATCTGCTCTTCCATTTCCTCAGAAAGCCCGTGGCCACGGGGCAAAGGCTAAGTCGGCAGCCACGACAAGTATGTCACATCTTCTAATCTATGCGCACAAATGTTTTTCCACTCCCTGAAGTCTATGCTAATTTATTTTATTTGTTTGTTTGTTTGTTTGGTTGGTTTTCTTAAGACCACGAATCCATTGCAAAGTCCAGCCCCATCTAAAAATGCATGAGGCTTGGTGGGGGGGTACCTAGACACAAACTGTAACGCTGACGGCACTGGAAGTGGAATTGTCCTCCTCACCTCTCGGTTACGTTGACCCTGATGGTGTGCAGGGATGCGGTGGAGTGTGCTCACCTTGTGCCCTACAACGTGTGGCACTGGTAGCTCAGGGTGCGTGCGCGCAGGCGGACAGCGCTCACAGGGTCCCTCATCGCCGGTCCACGGGCGTAAGGCCGTTCGCACCATCTCCACTGCCTTTGCTGACGTCTGTTATTTGTATCTTCTCTTTTTATTCTTTGTCAGTGTAGCTAAGGCGCTGTCAGTTTTGTTGATATTTTTCATAGGACCAACTTTTGTCTCATTGACTCTATTGCTTTTCTGTTCTTTATTTCATTTCTGTCTTAATCTTTATTCCCCCCCCCCCTTCTTCTCCTAGCTTTGGAGCTATTTTCTGCTTTTTCCAGTTCCTTCACAGGCACAGTTTTAGGTTATTCTGGGTGCTTTATATTCTCTTTCAATGGAGGTGTTCATTGTCATGAATTCTCCTCTTAGCCCACTTTGCCCTCAATCTCCCGCCCGTGCTGTCATACTTTCTGTTTCTTCTAATGTCTCCCTAGCCCACTGGTTGTTTAAGAGCATGTTTGAAAATTTCTACCTCCTTGTACGTGTTTCAGTTTTCCTCCTTTCTTCTTCTCTAGCTTCACCTCACTGTACTCAGAGAAGATGTGTGTAGTTTAGACTTTTAAAGATGCAGTAAAGGCCGGGTATGGTGGTGCACGCCTGTAATCCCAGCATTTGGGAGGCTGAGGCAGGAGGATGGTTGCGAGTTCG